ATAACTAAAAGCGCGAGCTAGCTGCTTTGGATAAAGCCCCGGCGGCTGCACGAGCGCTCGTGCAGCGAGTGCTCCAGTCAAGCCGTTCGCGCTCGCAGTCATCTTAGTTAGTTCATGCTAAGGTGAGACGTAGTATATATGTGATCATACGTACCTCCATCGCGTTCAGAGCGTAGAATTGTTTGCGGCACCAATACGCCGCCTTCGTGACGGTGGGGTCGTTCTGTGACGGACCGACGATGGCGATCATCGTCCCGTCGACGCAACCGATGACGCCGGGTATCCTGCCGAGCCGTTGGAAGCCCCTCTCGACGTCTTCCCTCTTGCCGGTTGTCTGGGAAAAGTCGATCCAGCCGCGCCGGATCCCCAGAGGCTGCACAATAGCGAGGGACACAGCCCGCACAACAATGCCGACTGTAGCCTGATTCCTCGCTATGTGCTCGTCGCTCGCCACCATGCTCTGAAAGCTCCCCGCACAGTTTGCTCCCCGTGGCGTAAAAGCGAAGTGCGCACAACACTTGCTGTTCCACAGACATCACCGTCCACGAACCTCGCAGCCTCAACTTTGGCTCCTCGCGCAGTTCGTCGCACAATCAACGGACCACATTCTTGGTGAGACGGTACTGCCTCCGAAAAGCTTCCTCCGGTAGTTCAAAGGCATCGCGGTGTCGCTGTGCAGCCGGTGGAGCCTTTCCGGAGGGAAAAAAGAAGTTGAACAGTAGAAAGACTGTCGCTCTGCCTCCGAGACGCCGTGTTTCCAATTTCGCTACCGCGAAGAGACCATCGACAGACTCGTTCCCTTTTCAGACGAAACACCGAGGAAACGATACGTCAAAGTGTTGTCACTTCCGGTGGGGGCGGTTCGCCGTCTCCGCCCACATTTTCGTAGGGAACTTTCGTCATTCGAGCCTCAACCAATCAGACGCGATGTCGTCACTTCCGTTTCTTTTAGGAGAAACGAAACATTTGTCCAACATAGGTCCCCTGCTCACCTGTTCGCATTCGTTATCCACTTTTGAGTCCCTGGTAATCCTCACCGCGTCTGTGCACGCACTTGGAGCTGTACACCGCACGGAACACCCGTTCAACTTGCTATGGGACGGATCAGGTGTTGGACTGATCCTACTGGGACGAGAGAGAGACCGAGAGCCGAACCCAAGCCTCCGCAGGCTGCTCCGTGGAGCCATGGAATGCCTCCATGTTTTTCACCCAATTAAATAGACATATAAACGCACGACTCCTTGAATTGGGCGGCGACAAGCGCCACCTAACGGACAACGCTCAAACTAACAAAAAAGAAAAAACTAGCAGTCACTGTGAGCGCATCGCCGGACATACACCTATTTCACACCACACTTCACACATTCGCGACATAGAGGTAACATATGCATTGTATACATGAACGCATGTACAAACAGCACAAGGTATAACACAAGACACTGACACTTTCCATTCCTATACACACTGAAAGTCGTCACCACCAGCTTATATACTGCTGTATTTTTTGTGTGACCACTGTCATATTTTGCATAAATACAAAAAGACTGTGCAAGATTTACCCGTATATAATATTTTCCCCTACCGCCCTTAGGAAAGCGCTCTTATCTCTAATGTAATCCACTGCAAAAGTGAACTGCAGGTTATAAATAAATTTGAATAGTCGCTACACGTCACGTTTTCGTCGGTTTCGTTTTCTCGCTAGCCTACACTTCAAGTATACAGAAGCCTGTTTAATGAGTTGTATTATCGAAACTAATTTCTGCAATTCAAACTTTCTGAATATGCTGACGCATTTTCTTTTCTCTTTTTACATATCCGGATGACTTCAGCGGTGGTTGAGTACACGCAAAGTAACGTTGAGTACACTGAGCACGCGGAAGTGATTCTGGCGAAGCGCGTCCACCGGTCCCCCCGAAGCATTGTTTGTTTTCTCCTTTTCACTACAATTGTTTCTGCTCAAGCGCGTTTCTTTCAAATGTATGTTCTATGCGCGAGCGCTCGCGCCAAGAGGACAGTGCAGAATTGCGCTTTCGGGCCCGTGCCTTCACCTACGTATGCTAAATTATATGAACATCAAAGAACGCCGAGATCATAGTTCTCTGCGCCGCACCTGCTGGCGTCTGCAGCAGTACTTTTTCTAAAGCAAAAATATAAAACAAATAGCACTTGTATGTTTGCCAACGCCTTATTTTTGAAAATACACTTGGAATCTTTTATATAGATAAAAGAAGCGCGCGCCGGAAGGACTGAAATCCTAGTCCTTTTGGGATGACACACATATCCATTTGGGATGACCGACACTTGCCCTAGCGGCCCTGCCATTGTTTGAGGCATTTTTTAAACGCCACTTTGGAAATGGCCTTTAGCTGGGCCGTCATATTCCGCATTATATCTTCTTGTGACCCACACAGGGTCCCTTTCAGCGGCATTTTTATCTTGGGGAAGTGCCAGAAATCACAAGGAGCGACGTCGGGAAAGTAGAGAGCCTGATGCGTGCTGTGTCTGGCCAAGAAACTCAATCAGATGCAAAGAACGAGCTGGTGCAGTCATGGTGCCACTGTCGTGTTCCAGCTACCCACAGATCCGGAGTCTCGTGCTGCACGGCATTGTGAAGAGTACTAGCAGAAGATACGTTGAGGTAGTACTCTTTGGTAATGTTTTAACCTTGTAGTGCATACTCGGGATGCATTACCCCAGGAGAGTCAAAGAAAATGGTCAACATCACTTTGATGTTGCTATGCACCTGTCATGCTTGTTTTCACACCGGGATGTTGAATGTCTCCATTGTGACGACTACATCTTGGTTTCCAGATCGTACGCGTTAACTCATGACTCATAACCAGTGATGACGGAGTTCAGGAAGCTGGGGTCACCATTTATGGAGTCCAACATGTCTTGCGAGACGTCCAGACAGAGTTCCTTTTGCTCTATAGTGAGCAACGTCGGCATGAATTTCACAGACACTCTACGTAGACCCAAATCCTCCTTCGAAATTGAATGCACTGAACTGGAACATACTCCCACCTCAGCTGTAGGTTTTTTTAACGGTGCTGCAACGGTCCTGCACAAAAAGAGTCCGCACTTGGTTAATCACCTCGTTATTTCGGCTAGTTGAAGGCCTTCCGGAACGTGCGTCGGTTTCCACAGACGTGCGGCCATCTTTGATCCGGTAGCACCACTTGTTAATTTGTGCAATGTCCATGGCATTGTCGTCGAAAGCCTGCTGAATCTTTCTAATTGTTTCCACCTGAGTGTCACCAAGCTTGAACAAAATTTGAAGCAATACATATATTCAAGCCGTAGCATCACCTTAGGAAAAGAAAGAAAAAACGACGAAGACTGGCTGCGATTACTCACTCGGAAGCTGACTGCCAGCAACTCATTTTCTGCGGGCCTGATAAAATTCAGTCATCTGCATTAATGTTCCCTTCACCTCCACACCAGAAGATGCTGTCCGCACTTCATTTGTTTCCGTGGGACAAATTTAGGTCGGATACCTTCACATACTGCAAAATGCGGCACGCCAAACCTGAGGAGGCACAGGCACGTAGCCAGAGGGTGCTTAGGCTCGGAGGGTGGGCGGAACGTGCTACCACAGGTTATGCTCTCTTCTTGTCAAAGTGCCTGTCAGTCAAGCGAATGGCTTTCAGAATTATTTATGCTTCAAAACAGAGTTCGGAGCTCTCTTCGGCGCTTCCACGAGTTGTTCTTGATCTTCTCTCTTTAAAAGGACCATTCTGTGGTCTGGGGTGTTGCTTGTAGGGTCCAAAGATCCAGACACTGAAGCCGTACAGGGTATGTGATTGCCTCTTTAAAGGGATACTGAACCGAATTTTGAGTTTTGCAAAATAAGGCTCTAGAAGCGTTGAACAGGACTCTACGAACTCCAAAACATTACTTGTACATCGATATCTCAAAAGGAATGGCCGCACTTTTGGAAAAGAAAGGCGTGACCAAGCGAGGCCTCTGACATCACCGTCCTCCGGGAGAATTTGAGAATGAGGGGTAGCGGCCTCGCTTCGGTTCACCAGCTCGACACGGGACGTAGTGAGGAGGAGAGGGAATGGGGAATCAAATCGTGACGTGCCTTGTCTTGTCGGCCTCGTCAACCGGGTTCAGTCAGGCACTTCTTTTCTAAAAATATGGCGATCCGTTAGAGATATCGCTGTATGAGTGATGTTTTGGGGTTTTGCATCGTCCTGCCTATCTGTCCAGCCTTGTTTTGCGAGTTCGAAAATTCGGTTCAGTATCTCTTTGAAGCTTAGTCGAAAGACATCACGTTTTACCCAGAGGCTCCACACCAGACGTGTCACTCTCAGAGGCGTCATCTATATCCAGCCCGATGATGATGGGCTGGATGTGAGCACTAGTGGCATTGCCTTGTTGGAACGCTTCTTCCACCCCAACAATGTGCTTCCAAGCATTGCACAAGCTTTCAGCCGTGACCAACCCAGCTTCATTGATGAGCTATTGAAATATGGCACTTCTCGAGAACTCCCGAGTGACTCTGGATGTGCCTTCCTGTCACAGTCGAGTCTGAAATTCTGCAAGCCTGCCTCCCCCCCCCCCCCCCCCAATCCACCTTTACCTACCGTTTGAACAGAATCTTATCTGATATGTTCTCAGTGTATGCCATTGAAGCCCTGAACCCACAATATGACAGACGTCGCACACAAAAAGATGCCATTCACGTGTTCCATCTCAAACCTTAACATCGAGCCATCGACCTCGTAGCACCATGACGAGACGTGCTTCCTTGAAAAGGTGCAATATTACAAGATGAAGATACTGCTTAGGAGAAGACGAGGTGGAGGACAACTAACTCGCGCAGCAGACGTCCAGCCTTCTGCAACAATCTTCATTCCTATACAAACCACCTTTTCATCGAAACAATATTAATAGTGGAACAGCACCTGGGTCCCGGTGACAAGATGGCATTTCCGGGCTTTCAGTTAAGCTGTACATAAGGAGAGCAACTTTTTTTTATTATGATCCCATACCTCTCAGTGTGACATAAGTGAGAACGTGAAGCATGCTTCTAAATCAATGCTTGTGGAAATGCATGAGCAAACTTTCTAAATTTCTAAAAAAAATACAGGAGATGATGCCTGTTCCAATAAAAACCAGCACTGTTTTTAATGTGTTTATTTTCAAAATATACAGTACAAATTTAAATCGGACTGCTTTCGTTTAAAAACAAATAGCATCAAGTAATGTGATTTAGGTTTAAAACAATGTTCAACTGAAAAACAAGTCTTTATAAGGCACTGCACACATGGTATACTATGAACAGCCTTTACAATAAGTTAATGAAAGCAGGTCTTGAATCACAAGCAGCTCCAGACTTGCAATGCAACTGTGCCCATTTTTGTGTGCGAAACCCCGATGGCATGCTCAAGAAGGGTGAGTGTATTTTTGATTTCAGCAGAGTATTCGATGTTCAAAGCCCAGAACAGGCACATCAACAACGACACTGCTTGTGTAAGGCTTGCAGCATCAATGGTCAAACCTTCGACTGTGACCGCATACACTGAAGATGTGAGCACGTCCTCACCAGTGTACAGAATACTTGGGTTCATGTACTGGGCGCCCGGCTCTTGTGAGAAGGACAAAGGCCATTTCGATAAAAATACCAACATGCAAATCGCTGCACAATTAAAAACTTTCCCGAGTCATTTCATTCTTATTGAAAGTAAAACTTATACTTCTTTCAATTTAGTAATGCTGTTGGGCTAACGTGCTTTTAAAGTTTATCCAGACATTTTGGGAAAAATGTGCAAATCAGAACTTGCTGTTTCGGCAAGACAAAGGACATTAAAACAATTCCTCAGAAGGTCTTTACAGACAACCTGGTAATTGTTCAGTTTGTTATGTCGTCACATATTTTTCGCAAGAGTAGAGTTTTGGAAACAGTCCCACACTGCACTTTATTTTGAAGTAAATGATTAAGCACAAAAGGTTGTATGTATCCATATAAACTTGCTAGAATGATCCTCAACTTTCAAAAGGAAAAAAAAAAGAAATATTTGCAATGTCTACCGTAGTCTTAAGCAAGCACCCACTCAAAATTCGAGGATAATCACGAAAAATAGGGGGATGGGTGCTTCTGAGGTCCTCAATATGCAAAGGACTTGCCTTTGCATATTTTCGAAATGTTACAAAATTGCGAGACACTTATTGTGGAATGGGTGGATGCTCGCATTTCGCAGTAAATAAAACCCAGTTCGTTTTAAATATTAACTACCATAATTATACAACTGATCTACCCAGTTCACTCAAGCATATCACTTTTTCAGGTCGGAAGCTTTTTCTGAGGGAACCTATAAATGCGAAAAAGTACTATTTCTTCAATTGTTGTAGTGTTTTACATCACAACGCTCGGGAGGAGCTCTGCATTTGTTTTTCATCCCATCCTCCCCAAACATCAGGGTTTACAATGTTAGAGCTTTTAGCTTTTTTGTTGGTATGAGAAAGTAGGATTTCTTCTCCCCAAAATAAATATGCGCCTGGTGCGACATAACGGACCTTTTCCGAGAAGCATTCTGCGCACGTGCGAGCGCCCGATGCCAAGCAGCAAAAGACGGCACGAAAAATTGAGAAAATTCAGAAGGAGGCTGTGGATCAGCGAGTAGAACACGTAATTGCAGCATATTTATAATTGTGTTACACAGAAAAAGAAAGTGGACAGAAAGATAAACGCAACACTTGGGTGGACGCCACGGATGCCCTTTAAAGTTGCGTTGGGCATGCGCCGCAGCTCAGAGAGCAAAGAAACTGGTAGCGTGGCTCCCATTATAGATTGGTAGCGCAGGTACTTCACTTCCTTGATTTTTAGTTCGTGCAGCCACCGCCTGGTGCCGTCGGTATGTGGAAAAGATCTATTGCTGCAAGCACAACAGCACCCCTGTTATGCACCTTATTCTCATTTAAGCTGACGACAAATTTTGCATTCATTATCACTTTTCACCACAGTAATTGTTCTGATTACAGCTTTCCCGTTCTGTAAGAAAAAAAGAAAATACTGGCGCATCACTCATTCACAAAATGTCGTGCTCTGTACATTATATACCTGTGAACCCTTTTGCTATTATTTGAAATTAATAAACAAGTTTTATCACTTTCCACTTTCCCAGTTATTTGATGTTAATATTCTAACGGGCTTTTCTCTCTAATAATAAATATCTATTTTAATTGAAATAGGCATGCCGAGCAATTCATACTAGACTCTTCACGAGGTTGTTGCTTCTTTCCTTCAGCAGGCATGGCAGCAAGATCAAGGCACCGTTGGCAAGGAGAGCTGGAGAAAAAAAAAAGAAAAATAACATCTTGGAAAATAATGTTTTGCAATCAAATGTTGCCATGGTTATACAATCACAATATACTATCTAGAACCTTTACCAGGTGTTCACTACATTACTTCGTTTTAGCTTTGGCATGTCAACCTAGAGTATGTATTCACGCGAGTCTTGGGAACAGTGCCGCCTTTGTGTCCGCGAGAGCAGACAACCACACCGCCACACCCGCACTGCCCGGCGATTTCTCTGCCAACACCATGCACAAACGACGGACGCTTTACGCAGTTGTGTTGTTACAGTGCAGTGGATAGTTGCGGCAACATTATGATGTTGTCTTCGGAAAGTAGTTTTCCACCGTTGGGCCCTTATAGCAGACAGCCAACAAGAACATGTACACCACGAGAAGATGGAAATCTGCAGCGTGGATCCCATCGGTCTGTCGCCGAATGGCCTCATCCAAGACAACAGGTGGCAGACGCGGGTGGAAATGACTGACATCCAGGACTTCAGTGCAACCCACTTCTAACGATAATGAGAAACTGATCATTTCCAGTCTAGTCGTATCTTAAGTGGGTAGCACTGTACTTGATGTTAACAACAAGTTTTGTTATGTGCAAGGAAGTCTCAAATGCCGGTAACTACAGGCTAATGGGTTCAGGCACTGTCGATGAAAGCGGCAATTGCGGAAAGCGCGATCGTCGTCTCGCAGGTAAGGTAGACCTACGAATATTTACTTTTACAAGTTTAATCATTCTTTGATCTGGCGAAGTAGACTCAACTCGCGGCACTTGTTTTCAAGTACGTCTGTGGCACTTTTTGTTTTTGGCAGACATTATTTCTTTTGACATGTCGACATCTCAACAGGGCTAGGCCTATCGTGCTGGTCAAATTCAGCCGCTATAAAGGACTCCCAAGAGAAGACCCAAACGTAAGCTTCCTACCGGAGGAGGCGGAAAATCGGCCTTGAAAAAAATTATACCATTCTTGAGCATGTTTTCGTCTTTTGAGTCGCAGCAACCTCAAAGCTTTCGGGCGCTGTTGCTTGCCAGTGACAAGCAACAGCCCGTACTCCAACCTCGTGTTGCTCGCATGGCGCCAACAATTCACAGTATCACTTTACAGCGTGCTGTACAGTTCTTAAAGGGCAACTCCGGCCAAAACTCAAAATGAAATAAATTACTGATATCAATGTAGTGACACAAAATACGACCCCAGCCAAAATATCACGTCCGTCGGACGCCGCATTCTCAACTAATGCCGATAATAAAAATGCGACCCGCCGCGAGCCGCTGCTCCTTAGCGGGCGGCCAGCGGGTTGCCGATCGCTAAAGCAACATTGGGCCGTGACGTCCGTATCGTTCTCTTTTTTTCCTCCGGTCCGGGCGTTGCGCGGAGTGCGCTTTTTTGAGCCGCTACCACCGCTACTTCGGCTTGTGATTGGCGTGTTTAGTCGTTGCTTTTATCTATAGCCCGTGTAGCTTCGGTATAGCCTTTTGTTTATTTGCTTGTGAGGACCCTAAGACTCGTTTTAGCGAGCAACTCGGTGCGCCTAAGACTGCCCAGCTGTTCTTCAAAAGATGCCGAGTGCAACTTGTAGCGCTGTGGGCAGCTCAAACAACCCGCTGCGCAACACAGAGGTGCTTTTTCACAAGTTTCCAACGGACCGGAAATTGGAGAAGGTGTGGGTGAAAGCTGTTCGACGAGTAAACTTTGGACTTCGGCTTTTACGCGCGAGAGGAAAAAAGAACGAAAAAACAGACGTGTACAGTTCAGCACACGCGTGTTCGGGCGCCGCGGCCCGCGCCGGAGAGCCTCAAAGCTTCGTGTCTGGGACTGACCAACAGCGCGAAAGCGAGAAGGCCCCCAGTACTATACGCCACTGGCAGCGCGGCGTAGAGCAACGCCGCTCCATCCACGGAGCCCCGATGACAATTTAGGCCTAGCGACGAGCACGGAAGATCGCAAATACGGCGACAGCCGCCGAGTACGGCAGCGAACGAGTTCACTCGTTTTCCAGTCTCTAGCTTTTGGGTATACAAGCGACGAGTACGGCATAACGCACGCACGGCGGCGGCCGCCGAGTATGGCACCGCACGAGTTCACGGGTTTTTCAGTCGCTAGCTTTTTCGGTATACGCACTAACTCTTGCTACATGGGCTGGATAACTACCACGTATACAGAATTAAAACAAAATCAGCTTACCTCCTATCTTTAGACGGCTAGCGCAACAGAGGTAGGTGCCGCTGGGCCTGCATACTCGTTGATTGAGAACGATCTTGACGTCACGTTCACATAGCAGCCGATTCCCAGTGTTGCCGGGGCCTCGAGCGGCTAGTTTCGGTTTTGTTGGCCGCGCCCCAAGCAAAACTTTGAAACGTCGATATCTTTAAAACTATGCACAATAAGGAGAAAAAAATTACACCTTGCAATTCAGAGACGCTGACTGCACTAAAAACAGTCATAATCCCAAAATCGAAAGTATGGACCGGAGTTGCCCTTTAAGGAGAATGATTAGCCTTCTAAAAGTGAATCAAGCAAAGGTGCAGACGTGCTCCAGAATTACGCGAATTACGCGTCTACCTCACCTGTGAGACGACAATCGCTCTCTCTGCACTCGCTGCTTTCATCAACGGCTCCTGGAGCCCTTAAAATACTCGGTTGAGCGTGACAAAATTTGTCTTCAGGAGGTAATCCGAGATGTCAGCAATTTCCCCCAGTGGCCATAGCTAAGCTCTTGGA